GAAGGCAGAAAGCCAGGCCTGATCAGTCCAGGTCTTGACCCCCAAGTCCCTCTGACCTGGCCTTGGCCTGGCATCCTGGGGAGTGCAGCTGTTGGTCTGCTCTCCCCCTCAGTCTCAGATGGAGACCCATCTGGAACGTGTCACCAGCTGCCACTGTGTCTGCAAGCAGCCAGCTCACTGGATTATGTCAGTCTTCCAGAATCTGCTGCAAAGGTCCCTGGGGTGAGGACACAAGACAGCAGCCTTCAAGATACTGTTCACCGTCCCTCAGCTTCTTAGCTTGTAGAACGGAAGGGGTGGCAGAAGGCACAGGAGGGCCCAGAGCCCCAGGAGGGATGACTGATGTCCTGACTATGTGTTCACGGCCCATGTGTATCTGATATTGACTGGGCATCTCCTTTGGTCTAGCCCTACACCAGGTTCTGGGGATACAGAGATGAGAGGCACGGGTTTCCAGGAAGAGGGGCCTTGTAAAGTTTCAGATATATACTTGCTGAATGTACGAATCAGGGAAGCAGCCCTGTGCCAAGACAGACACAGGACAGAGCACAATTCATGAGGGCGGGGGGATGGAGACCACGAAGAGCCCAGCGTGTGGACTGTCCTCCTCTCCCCCAGCCACCCCCTCCTGCAGGCTCCCTGGGTGTTACCGGCACCTAGAACACACATTGGTCCCAAGTAGAAGAAACTGGGAAAACTCACCCAGCATTTAAACTCCATGAGCATTTAAGCTCCCAGGGCATTTAGAGATGGATCTGGTGGCCCAACAATGGGAACAAATAAGGCCTTCTCCGGAGTAGACAGGTGCTATTACTGGAGTGCTGAATTCAGAACTTATCTACGTTATCACCTCTATTTAAGTCCAGTGAAAAATAACACTTAAAATACTCATGTTCCAGCTGTGCAAAGAAGTGGCCGCACAGCTAGCAGCTTGGCGCCCAAACGAGAAAGGAGCCCGAGTGCCTAAGGAGATGGGTTACACACAGAGCATGAGGAGAGCCAAGTTTCTCCCTGTCCAAGAAAGCAGACCATGGACAGTGAGAAGCTAGACTGGGTCCTGGGGTGTTGGACTGCAATGAAAAGTACCAGTGTGAACTTATCAGTATTTATATGCAGATACGGAAATTCAGACGCAACTGTGTGTGCACGCTCGTATACTTACTTTCTACGGGTCTACCCGCCCAGATGACCTGGGAGCAGTGAGACTCCAGTAGCAAGGGGCATACCTAGCACCAAGTTGTGGTTTCTAAATACAATCTCCCTGGAAGGGAACCAGGGCTCCTTGAAGAAATGGCCAATTCCAGGGCTGGGGCACAGGGAGGACGAGAGCCTGGAACACAGTATTATGGCACAAAGGAAGGAAGGACTCGAAAGAGTGGTAAGAGCAGGCCAAGCACAGAAGGCAGCCCTCAGAAGGCAAAGGCTGGGACAATGTGTGCATCAAAACTGCAACACTAATGGATTATATACCACTGAATAAAACAGCGATCTGAGCCCATACCGATGCAGATTGTGAACGGGGGAATCCAGGAGATTGCTAACTAATAAATGTACAAGAAATTATGCAGTCTGAAAATCACTTGGCAACCATCTTAGTAATTCAGGCAAGAAAATCAATGGATACTAAAATTAATGGGCGTAATTTTCATGAGAAATAAGATATTCTGTCTCAAAATACCTTATCATAAAACACTGAATACAAAGGGACAGTGAGTAACAACTGTTCAGTGGAGAAGCTGGGCAGATCCTTGAATAATCAGAGTGAACCAGAAGTGGGACAAGTTGACATCCCTCATGGGATGCAGCAAAAAAACGCACAGCAGCACTTCTGTTATTTCTTCCAAAACCACAGAACTGGAGCCTAGTCATGAGGAAACAACCAAACATAAATTGAGGGCCATCCTAAGAGACAACGGTCCTGTAATGTTAAAATAAAAAGTTAAGGTCATGAAGACCAAATAAGGACTAAGGAAGGTATAAACTTGGTTTGTTATCCTGGATCCGGTCCCTTTGCTACGAAGATACTTACTGGGACACCGCACACTGAAATGGGTTCGGGGGTAATTGGGAGCACTTTGTATTGTCCCTGGGACTTTTCTGTGTGAAATGTTTAGGGGTGAAAAGCTGTTAACGCTCTTTGCAAAAACGCAAACACGGTCTAAAAATTTTAACACCAAAGTTAAACATATGAAACTATTGAACTTTCCTTTAGTTTCCTTGGAACTGGAAAAATAAAAATTAGCAAAACTGCTATCAAACCAGCACAGGCAGGCCTAATTGACCAAAAAAGAAATTTGAACCCCCTCCCCACCCCCCAAAACCTCCTAAAAGTTGCAAAAATCACTCCAGGGTTCCTAACATTGTTCAAGACCTCCACCTCAGCTGTTCCACGGCAGAGCATCACCAGCCCCAATCGTTCTCATCCAGTTTATAGTCAATCACTTTTGAATAATTTATCAAGTATCCTCCTATCCGCTATTGCAGGCAAATTAAAACCCAGACTGGCTTCCAGAACTTACTGCCGAACTTTTAGGAGCAGTTTTGAGACAACGGTGGACTTTGTTAAAGAGATGGAAGCTGTCAGTTCCACAGGCTTCCATGCGGAAGGCCCATTGGCTAGCACAAAGGATAAAGCCTCCCAATGTTCTTGTCACGGCCAACGTTAATAGTTGTCCAAAACATTGGGGAAAAAGACAAGGCTGCTTGAGAGGCAGCCAGGGTTGAGATCAGCTTCCCCAGGTGCTCTGAAGACCACCTCGTTGCCTGGGGAGGGATTACGCACTCTCAACATCAATAACTCATGGCAAACCAGCTGGGAAAGGATGAGGGCCTAGGTCAAGAAGAATGGAAAACGAAGTTTAAGTGGTCTCTTTGTAGGCCACAAGTCTGGGATGGCTATTTTCTCATCTGTGCTCCTGGAAGACAAGTTCCGCTACACCTGGTAAAAGAATTCATTACTAGTTAAATGTTGTCATAGAATTTCAAACTCAATGGCAGAGACCTGGTCTCCAGTCATTCTGGAATTGGCAGCACCATGCACATGAAGCAAACTTGTCACCACTGATGTTTCTTTGGTCATCCAGCCTCCTCTCCACTAAAAACCCTCCCCGGGGGGCCATTGCTTTCCCTACTGAACATCATGAGAGAAATGCCTTTTACAGCCAACTTGTCACCACCACCGTCCCCGTGGTTCCCCAAACACTGCTTCAGCGGTTGATCTTTTTCCTAGCAAGCCCAGGCCTTCTCTCCCTGTCACCGCCCCTCCCACCCTCCCATTCCCAAATGACCCACACACCGTTCTGGAAACCAGTCTGCCACCCAAACAGGTCCAGCAGCTATACTCCCCCTCTGGGGTTCTACCCACTCTCTTCTTCCAGCCGTGGTTAAGGTGCTTCCTCCAACTGTCTCAACTCTGATCCTAGGGCCCAAAGATTCCCAGATGTATTCATCTGACTGCTTTGTTCTGGCCAATTTATCACCATGCTGGGTGCTTCTGAGTGTTTAGTGCTGAATGGCATTCTCTGACTTTAAGTGCAAGGTAGCGCAGCAACAGCAATGAATTAATTTCAAGGTGGTACCCTAAGCCCCCACATACATGTGAGGCAAGCACACATGGAACACACTGCTTGATACCACTCCTCTGGAAAGAACCTGTGATGGTCACAAGTAAACCAAACTGAAGCTAAGACCCAAAGTCAAGAGGCCAAGATGCCAAAAAAGCAACAGAAAGCATCATATACTTTGATATAGGGTGGGCTAGTCACAGTTTAGAACAGGGGTGGCTAACTTTTTCTGGAAAGAGCCAGACAGTAATTATTTGGACTTTGTAGGTCTCAGTCTCAGCTCCAACTATTGAACAGCAAACCTGCAGCACAGAAGTATAGCTACAGGCAATACGTAAACAAATAAGCATGGTTGTGTTTCAATAAAACTATAGACACTAAAATTTGAATCATCTTCACATCATAAAATCCTTTTTTGAAAACCCTTAAAAATGTAAAGACCATTGCTAGCTCATAGGACTGAAGTTTGCCAGCCCCTGGCTTAGAAGATCAAAGTGGAACAAAATGGACATGGGAGGTCAACTAAAAGGACATGTACCCAAGCCTCATGGCTAAGGAACTCACCAGAACAGACTTGGTCAGGAAGTTCTTATGCCCTGAAACTGCTTAATTTTGGTTGAATATTTTGTACCAGTCTTATTAGGCTGGCTGCTATAATACAAGAGCATGGGAAAAATGGGAATTGAACTAAAATTTCTAAAAGCCCTTTTGAACCTTAATTTATGGTCCATCAAGTATTCCAGCTGTGTTGATGTTTTGATTGAGAAAAACAGGAGACCCAATAAAACTGACCTAGCATCTGGCCCCCTGCATGCCAATCACTCAAGAAAACAGAACTATGGGTGACAGAGGCATCGTCAACTCTCAATCTAAGATTCTATATGGCAAAAGATCATTTTAAAAAATGAGAAATGCAATGGTGGATATATTGAAAATATTTTATAATTAATTCTCTAGAATCCTAGCCATGTAGTACAGGAAAAAATTATATGGTGGAACACTTCAGTATTTTTAAACAATGTAAAGACATATTTGACTAGAGGATGGCAATAAGAATTTAACAAATATAAACTTAAGCTTCCTCACATTTTCCATAGAGCAACTAAACAATAAAAATATTTCAAGAAATAGATGACAGAATACCTCAAACGTAAAAATTCCAAAATCAAAGAGCCAATTACATTAAAAGATTTACCAAAACTGTTTGTAAATTAAAAGATAACAGCAAAAGGTCACAAAAAGCCTATTTTTTTCACAGCGTCTTGGCTAATTCTTTAAGCAGATAGAACAAGGTAAAAAATGATCAAAACTTGGCCTCAACTGTTTTCTTGTAATGATTAATCCCACTATTTGTGGTTTTGTTGTCTGAGGACAAAAACGCCGTGCCATCAACTTCTGCTGTCACTTTCCAGAGAAAAGAGGCTGCTGCTGGGGGTTTTTTGTGTTGGTTTTTTTTTTTTTTTTCCTTTTTTCCAGTTTTCGCTATACTGAGCAATTAGGTAGCAGACAGAATGACATAAAATAAATGAAAATATTCCATTATTCGACCAGAAATGCCACCCTCTTCCCAACTCATTGCTCTGTCTTGAAGGAGGAACATATTTACAAATGCTCGTTTTATTCTCCTGAGACATTTTGCATGATCCATTATAAAACATACAGGTAATACAAAGTCCAAAGGTGTGCCGTGTTTAAGGAGTACACACATGAAGATTAAACTACATAACACTGTGGGGAGAAACCATGGTCTCATTTATTTTCATGAGAGACAGGTACGAGTGCATGACGTGAAAGCTTAAAAGTCATCCCCAAACTTTGCTAAGGATTATTGCAAGAGATTACGCAGGGAGAATCTGTGCAAATTCATTTTCTTTACTCAGTATCAGATGGTAAGGGAAAAAATAATTCCTTTAAACAGTCTTGTTTATATTGAGGAAAAAAGATCTGAAAAACTGAACAAGTAGACATATTCCCCCTCTTTACGATCAAATAGTAATGCCAATGAAGGAGATTCTAATAAAAAACAGAGTTGAAAAAAATCCAAATAAAAGCCAACACTGCTATTAAGATTTTTTTTTAATATGCCATGAGATATTCTTGATTGTATATTTTCCAAAGTACTTTTCCAGCTGCATCTCCCAACCCTTCCAGAAGATTCCGCCAGTCTTTCCAATGCAATAAAAGATGCTGGATTATACTTTTGTCCACCTCCTCTTTTTGAAAGTAATATAATCCTAATGACTTTAATGGTCATACATTCTTATCTAATAAGGAAAAACACTTACAAATATCAGAAACCCAGTTTTGGAACATTTGCATTTCTTTTGAACTGAATCAGCATTTTGTGGGTTTAAAAAAGGCAGCAATTTGAACTCACGACTTACTGACAAACACATTTCTGCAGAGGGATGGGGAAGAGAGGGATAGTGAATGCTGCATTTCTCCATTGGCCCCAAAGTGCTAATTTTACAAAGGGATACATCAAAAGCAAACATGCGATGGTGGCTTTAAAACTTTTACTGCAATGTAACAATGAAGTAAACAGTAATTAGACACCTACCAATTTCTTCCCAAAACAAACCAAAAAAAAAAAATGTAAACAGGAAAATAACTCTGCCTATACTTGTACAGCTTCTCAAATCATGTTCGAAGGGTCTCACATTCGATGATCAAGAAATTTTAAAATAGCAGTAATTATTTTCATTTTAAGAAAAGGTTCCCCTTCTTCCTCCCCTACCCCAAGTATTTAACATGAAAGAATGGGCTTTCTTACACATTAATTCAATATGTATTTGAAGCAGCAACAATAACCATCAATAATTTGGCATTTCTGTTTACAGTTGCTCCAAACTTTTTTCAATTTCACAAAGCCATTATCCAGTGTTGCCATGAAATAGAGACTGTAAATTCTAGGTAGCAAAGATTCTTTCTGAAACCAAAGTTAAGTCAAAGAAATATAAAGCAGGGCATTACACTAAATTTCTGGATCTAGTACACTAAAAAGAGTGAAACCTAGGAAAAGTTACCTACTGTTTTATAGAAGAAATAAAGACCTGCAAAAGCTGATTTTTGGTTGTATAATATTTTACACACTGTGTGGATTTGCGGCATCTGCTAATTGAAGCAGACATGCACTGTATTTATCCCTGCCCTATATCCTAGATCCCTCCCTCCCCACCCCCAACAATCTACTACCTTATACCAAGTATTGTGGATATGAGCCCAAGTCATCCCAGACAATCCAGTGAACAAAGTTAGTGTAATGCACTGGTGTGAAGTGTGAGATAAAAAAAAAAAGTCCCTTTCAATCTTCATCAAAGTTTTGCTGTAGAAGAAAATTGGCAGCCAAGTTCTCATTCTTCTCACAAGCAAAATACGCTTGTATCACAAGTCCTTCAGGAAATCCTAGTGCCTTTAACTGGAAGAAAAGAGAGAAAACACACATGGGTTCCAACATAGCAATAGGGGCAGATCAGCATTGAAAATATGAAAGGCACAAAAAAACTCTTGAAGACGTTATGTGAACACATGCCTACCTGAGTATGGATTCACTGTCCAACCCGAGCGGCTAGATGGGAGCCTAGACCTCTTTATCAACCACCGATGAAATTCTCTGTTCCTAGTTAAAGCTATTAGACGAACAGCTACTCTGCTAACACTCAATGGCACTAACACTAAAAATTAGTTGCTGACTATGATGGTTTAAAAATAAATGACCCTACAGCCTACAGAAATGTGTAAATCAAACAGCTTTTACTATGTAAGGGGGGCAGGGAGATGAAGATGAGAGCAACAGGAGAGGAGTTTAACAACTTCATCCAATTATTTATAAAGAAGGTCAGTCAGGTCAACTATCATTCTCCATCTCCTCACCTTATGAAACACTTCACATACTAGAAAAATGGGTGATCAATTATTAATATTACATGATATATTTTGAGATCAAGACATACGGTGTTCTATTTATATCTGCTTAATTTTTACAGCATTTTAAATGGTGATATCAGCCACTTAGTTTTGTTTTCCTAGTCTATTACTGTGACTCCAAAATCACTGCTTTTAAAAGTCTTTAAGCACTCAGGTCAATTAGGTACTATATATTTGTCAACCAAGTATTTTTTATGAAGCCTCTGTTCAACTGTCTAAACCACCTGCATTAGACTATTATACCAAGAAATGACCTTAAGTCTCAATTCAGCATGATTAACTATTCATCCATGAAAGGAGAAGATAAAACTCAAAAATGATTTTGTTACCTAGGTCTTGTCCAGATTAAAGCTGGGCTAGCTGAAGTAAAAGGTAGATAGGGCACGATCCAATTATATGCTTCTACAAGGCACACACTTTAGATTCAAAGACACAAATATGCTGAAAGTAAAAGGATGGAAAAAGATATATACCATGCAAACACTTACAAAAAGAAAGCTGGAGTAGCTACATTAATATCAGACAAAATACACATTAAGATTAAAAACTGTTACTAAAAACAAAGACATTTTATGATGATAAACCACCAGGAAGACTTTGTTATAAACACATGTTACAAGAGAACCCCGAAACACATGAAACAAAAACTGAGAGAACTGAAGATTCTGGTGATTCAACAGTAGTTGGAGACTTCGCTATCCCCACATTCAATGTTGGACAGAACGACCAGGCAGAAGACGGACAAGAAAGCTGATTTGAGCCACATTATGAACCAACTTAACCTAAAAGACATTTACGGAACACTTAACAACAGAAGATCACACGTTCTTTTCAAGTATGTATCAAACATTCTCCATAAAGACGATGTTAGGCCAAAGAACTAGCCTCAATGCATTTAAGAGAATTAAAATTTTGCAAAGTACATTCATTCTCTGACCACAACACAATGAACTCTGAAATCAGCAACAGAAGGAAATTTGGGAAATTCAAAATATGTGGAAGTTAACATAATCCTTAACCAATGGATGAAAGAAGGAATCACAAAGGAAATTAGAAAACACTTGAGATGAATGAAAACACCGCCGAACTTACTAAAACTTATAGGATGCTGCTGTAGCAGTCCCTTGAGGGAAATTTATAGCTGTAACTATCTGTAGTAAGAAAAATCTTAAATACATAATCTAAGGTTCTAGTTTAAGAAACTAGAAAAAAGAGAAAACAAAATCCAAAGCAACCAGAAGAAGAAAAAGAATAAGGGTTAGAGAGAAAATAAATAAAATAGAGATTAGAAAAATACAATCAGGAAAACCAGAAATTGGTTCTTTTTTTCTTCAGAGTAACAATACTGACAAATGTTTTAGCTGAACAAACAGGTGAAAAAAAAAAAAAGAAATCGCAGGATTCAAATTACTAACATCAGAAATGTGGGAACACTACTATTGTTTAGAGAAATAAAAACTATTTTAGGAAAATACTGTGAACAATTGTATGCCATCAAATTAGATAACGCTGATGAAATACAAATTCCTAGAAAGACAAAATCACCAAAACTGACTCAAGAAACAGAAAATCTGAAGAGCCCTGTAACAAATGAAGAGGCTGAATTAGTAATCACAAAATTTCCCCAAAAGAGAAGCCAGGCCCAGATAATTTTACTGGTGAATTCTACCAACTGTTGAATGAATTAAAACTATTCTTCATAAACTCTTCTAACCAAGAGAGAAGAAGGGAATACTTCCTAATTCATTCTCTAATGAGGCCAATATTAATGATACCCAACCAGACAAAATCATCACACACACAAAAAGCTACAGACCAATGCTCCTTATGAATACAGATTCAGAAATCTTCAACAAACATTGGCAGACGAAATCCAGCAACATGTAAAAAGGACTATCCACCACAATCAAGTGGGATTTATCCTAGGAATGCAAGGCTGGTCCAACATACAAAAATCAATGTTATTAATAAAGCATATTAACAAAAAAAGAACAAAACCACACAATCATCTCAACACATAAAAACCATCTGACAAAATCAATACCCTTTTGTAATAAAAACACTCAATAAACTAGAACAGAAAGGAACTCCCTCAACCTGATAAAGGGCATCTAAATCTAGTAAAACCCATAGCTAACATCATACTTAATGGTGAAAGACTTACTGCCTTCTCCTAAGATCAGGGACAAGACAAAGATGTTGGCTCTCACTACTTCTATTCAACAATACACATACACAGAAGGCTGCAAACAGGACGATTAGGCGAGAGAGAGAGAGACAGAAAGAGACAAAGAGGGACACCTGGGTGGTTCAGTCAGTCAGACCTTCGGCTCAGGTCATGATCCCAGAGTTCTGGGCCGGCATCGGGCTCCTTGCTCAGTGGAGAGCCTGCTTCTCCCTCTGCCTGCCGTTCCCCCCCCGCTTGTGTGCTCTCTCTCTCTGACAAATAAATAAAATCTTAAAAAAAAAAAAAAAGAGAAGAGAAGAGAAGGGAAGAAAGGAAAAGAAAACAGAAGTGAAGTGAAGTGAAGTGAAGTGAAGAGAAGAGAAGAGAAGGCAAGGCATCCATACTGGAAAAGAATTAAAACTACTTGCAAATGATATTCTACAATTAGGAAATCCTAAGAAACACACACAAATTATCAGAATTAATAAATGAGTTCAGGAAGGTTGCAAGTTGTAAGATCAACACATAAAAGTAAGTTGTATTTTTATACAGCTAGCAATGAACAATCCAAAAATGAAATTAAGAAAACATTTCCACTGATAACAGCATCAAAAAGAATAAAAATACTGAGGAATAAATTTAACAAAAGAAGCACAAACCAAAGACTATAGAACATTTCTGAAATTATAAAAAAAAATCTAATAATGGAAAGGCATCTCATGTTCATGGCTTGGTGAGATTTAATACTGCTAACATGGCAATATTCTCCAAACTGATCTGCAGAAAAAACACAGTATTAAAATCCCAGTTTTTTGTTTCACTTTTCTTACAGAAATCAGACAAGTGGATTCTAAAATTGATATAGAAATGCAAGGGATCCAGAACAGCCAAAACAATCTTGAGAAAAGAAAACCAGAGATTTCAAAACTTACTACAAAAAGCCACATTAATTAAGACCGTGAGGTAGTGGCATAAGATAAACATATAGATCAATGGAACAAAACTGAAAGCCCAGTAAACCCTCACAATTATGGCCAGTTGATTTTCAAAAGGATGCCAAGACAATTTAATGGAAAAAGAGTAGAATTTTCAGTAAACGGTGCTGGATATCCACAAGCAAAAAATATGAAGTTAGACTCCTACATCTCACACTATAAACAAAAAGTAACTCAAAATAGATCACAGACCTAAATACAACAGGAATTATAAAACTCCTCAGAGAAAAGATAGGAGTAAATCTTTGACCGTGGATTAGGCAACTTCTCTTAGTATGACACCAAAGGCACAAGCAAAAAAAGAAAAGAATTTCTTCTCCAAAACAGAAATCAAGAACGGATATCCCTAACCATTAAAAAAAAAAAAAAGCTATAGAACAACTGAGGCAAGTGTCATTCACTCACTTCCCTTATTTGAGGGGGAGAAATATTAGCATGATACATAAAATATCTTTTAAGAAATACATAATTATAAACCTTGAACACTTGAAATGTTTATATCATAAATATGAACAAATTATCTTTCAGATGATTTTCTAAGTATTAAGTTAAAATGAACTTTAACAGATTTCCATCTCAAAATGCTTCAGAAGATAAGATGGGGCAAGTACTGTGATTCCATATTTACAAATATTAACAATGGAGCCTAGAGAAAAACGAATGACTTGTCAGAGTATATCATATAAACTAAGTTACTGCAGTGAACTGGTTGACCTAGTAAGATGGAAACAGAATTATGATATCAGGTTCTGATGGTCAATGTACATATTTTTTATATTTAATTCATATACATATCTATTTTACATTTTAGTGACAGTAGTAAAGTAAAATTTAAAAAAATGGATAATTTTGAGTTAGGCATTCACTTTAAGGTCATTTTCCTTCTTTTAAAGATTTTTATTTATTTATCCGAAACAGAGAGCAGAGAGAGGGGAGCAGCAGAGGGAGAGGGAGAAGCAGGCTCCCCACTGAGCAGGGAGCCCACCACCGACACGGGGCTCGATCCCAGGACCCTGGCATCATGACCCGGGCTGAAGGCAGATGCTTAATGGACTGAGCCACCCAGGTTCCCCTCAGGTCATTTTCTTTATAAATTTTAAGACATAAATGAAATCTTTAATTTTTAAAATATGTTTGTAACTATCTTATAAAGCTGACTGGCATTCATTACTAGTCCCTTGGCTAGCACAAAGGCCACGATGTGAGAGCAGGGATGAAAATACATGGTCTTTACAGCAATCCTCAGGACAGTGCTGTATCTGGCTCTGTCCAATAGCACTATCTCCAGGGGCAGAAATACCGTGTATCTGTGCTACCCCCACGCAGCAGCCCCTAACCCCGTGTGACTACTGAGCATCTGAAATGTGGCTAGTGGACTACGGAACTAAATTTTCAGTTTTACTTCAACTCACCCTTTCTATAGCTTCTTTTTCCTGAGGCGTTACTTGAATGTAGTTCATATGACCACTTCCGGCTTCTGCAATTCCTCCACTGCCACCTCCACCTCCTCCTCCTTGACCACCAGCTTCTTGAACTGGTTCATTTAACATCTGAATAAAATGCTCCTGGTGCTGGCTAATTTGCTGTGGTAATTTGAAGGACAGGAAAAAAAACAACAATACAATGATATAAAGTATCTTCAGGAAACTAAGAATTCTAAACACAAATAGGAGAGAAAGCTAGAATTTTGTAACTGCCTTATTTTTAGACTGATTCTGAATTATTTAATCTTTGGAAGGATGTGATTTCTTATATACTATTAAAGAAACCTGGTACTTTTCAGTGAGGCAAACAGTGAAGAAATAAGAGAATTGAAATTCTCTTCCATAAATGCGTCCCGTCCCCCCAAATCAATGTTAAAAAACTACTTGGGGACTATAAAAAGAAACAAAACTTCTGTATCTTCCACACTAGTAGGTAGTACAACACTGTATAAAACTCAAAATACTTTGTGACTTGAGCATTAAATAAACCCATGGGTATGTCTCTAAGAGGCAATGCTCCACTATAATAAGTGTGGGGAAAAAAGATTTTATAAACGGTTTCTTTGATAAAGAGTTTCTCTGATTCTTTAATAGTTTCCCCAAATTATTATTTGACCAACTTAAATTAACCTCCCCCCCCACTCTTGTTTTTAGTACATCTAATCTACAGCATATTCTATTGAGTGCAGCTCGGAAGAAGAGTTTATAGAGCTTGTGGAGGGGAAGGGAGTACACACAGACTTTAAAAAAGTATGATATACTCTACAAACCCACTTTTGAAATTAACTCTGATTAAATAGTTACCTGCAGTAATTGAGGATTTTCCCGACCTATCTGTTGTAGCAATGCTGGAAGCAGGGAAGGATTCTGTTGAATAATTTGTCTCATCTGTTGAAACTGAGGCTGATTCCGTAAAAATTCAAGGGGATGTCCTAAAAAACACATAAACATTTTTAAACAAAAGCAGCAATTACATATACAAAGAGCTGGTTCAATCATAATATTAGACAGCAAACACTGACAAGTAAAAAATATGAGTTCGCAGATGTATATAAAAATGAATAAGGACAAAAATCTTTAAACCGTACAAACGTCCAAGTCTTATACTATAGAAATTACTCCTATTAGCAAAGGTAGAGAGTACAGAACACTGAAAGAACGAAGTTTTCCTACAATTGTCCCGGGCAGTCAATATCATCAAATAATGAGAATTTATGACCTGCATGCACTCTATCAAAATAAAAAGTACTAATACTGTTCCTAAGAAAAATACATACCTAGAACTAACAAAACCAAAAAATCCACCTATAATACAACCCCAACCTTTAAGGAAAAAAACAAAACAAAACAAAACAAAACAAAACAAAAACAATCTGAGCTTGAATTCCTGCGAAATTCTAAACCAAATAAATCAAAGATAATATTTAAAAGAGTTCAGATATGCAGATCAGAAGCAGTTTTATTAATACAACTTAAATTACAATTAGAAAAACAATTTTGGTTATTACCATTAAACTTCAAACATTTATAATCTATAAAAGCTTGAGATAAATAAGCTATAAGTAGGGGCGCCTGGGTGGCTCAGTCGTTAAGTGTCTTCGGCTCAGGTCATGATCCCAGGGTCCTGGGATGGAGCCCTGCATTGGGCTCCCTGCTCAGCAAGGAGCCTGCTTCTCCCTCTCCCCCTCTCCCTGCTTTGTGAGCACACGCTCTGTCAAATAAATAAATAATCTTTAAAAAAATAAAATAAATAAACTATAAATCAATCTAGTAGTAATACATTTAGAACTCTTTAGTCCAAAATCCCATGACAATAATAAATATTAAGGATGCCAAGATAGAACTTGCAACTTTTTGGGGGTAGTCGTGGTTGTCTGATTATACTACGTGAAACCAAAAATTGCATACAATTATGTTTTTGAGGTTATTAATGAATTATGACAATTTTTTAGATGTTATTTCCTAAATTATCCAAATTAAAATGGCCACATGAGTATGAGAAGTACCCTTCCTTCTGTGACACTGGTTTTACAGATGAAGAAAATGAGACTCAGAAACTAAATTAATCCATTAAGGGCTGCTAAATGGGACAGTAGTCCATATCTGAACCAAAGCAGTGGCCTCTTCTTCCCATTCTTATGCTAATTCCATAGAAATGAAAGCCTGTCCTCTGGGAGACTGTACACAAAATGCTCAGGGCTTGTTGTCAACTAGAGCTGACGGTCGTTAAGAAGAGCTAGGAAAAGCATCAAAGAAGGGCCTCTTCAAAATGATCAGTTTAAATTACTTTATCACTACCGTACACAGAACGGAGACTGAAGGAGAATGAAGTAACTCCTGGGCCCCCCACAGGCTCCAGGGCCTCTGTAGTCACACCTTCGGCAATGGAAGGGTGGGTGCCAACCAGTAAAGAAAGAGAGGTGAATTCAAGATTGACTTTCACCTCTAGACCCAAGTCTTCAAACTTCTCAGTGCTTTATTTCTTTGGTTGTATAACAGCCACTAAGATAGTCCTGGCTTTGAAATGACACATACTTTATGACATTCATAGGGAAAGAGAAGAGACAAGGTGAGCAAACGTTCTAAATCGCTTCAGAATGTTAACACAAAATGCGAACTGGGAAGCATCTCTTCCTCCGAACAGGCTAAACAGAATGTGCCCTTTGCCCAAACTACGGTGCCGAGGTCTCAGTGAGAAGGTATGCTATAGCCCCTGGAGAGAATTTGTTTGGGGCCCTTCTCTAACATCAATGGATAGAAAACTTGTGTGAAGAGTCCTTCAGATGCTCCAGGAAAAAGCCTCAGCTCACACGAGAAAGCCAGGACTGTGCCCCGCACCGCCCCAGCCCACTCTAACCTCCAGGGCTCGCTGTGGTTGTCGATGCCGTCGTCGTCGCCGCAGCGGCCGCCACCGAAGATGGAGGAGCCCCAGTGCTGACCGCAGGAGGGGTGTCCACCACAGCCTGACTCTCTCTATCTCCGGGGATCCCCTACAATACAATTTCCCTGCTTTAAAATAGCTTGTCATTCAAAGTTAGTTCAATACTATACAAAGTAAAAGATTTATTGATCTATTTAACGTGCTTGTCTAATTTCCAAAAGCATCAAACAGATGTCTGCTTCTATTAAAAGTAAAGGATTAAACTTATCTGAAAGCTGCATATATTCAAAGTGCATTAGAAATAACATGAGCGTGGTCTAGAAGAACCCATACTGCAATAATGTAAGGCAGCACTGTCTAGCAGAATTTTCCATTATGACAAAAATGTTCTGTATCTGTGCTATCTAATAAAATACTCATTAATCTCATGTAGCTAATGAGAACTTGAAATGTGGCTGCTACTAAAGAAACTAATTTTTAATACGCTTTTAATTTTTTTAAATTAAAATAGCTACTTGTCCTCAATAGTACTTAATAGCTATTTTACTAGACAGTGCAGATCTAAGGTATAAAGAGATTTGTAATTTAAAACATGCATAAAACAATGTTTACCTATAGCAACACATTATATCTAACATCAAAGATCCTAAGTTTGTATATAAGGAATAACGTACATTTTTAAAAGGCTATTAAAAATTTTTTAAATATCAATACAAACCTTATTAAAATTGGATATATTTGGTTTTTATGCTATATATTACTCTAATTTTTGAATTTCATACAAACTCACCAGCTCTGCCATAGAAAGGTTTGCATTTGTAACCCTAGCCTTAAAATTATCCAAAGAAACAGGTTTTGATGCATGTACAGTTCTGGAATGAACCTGGGGGGAAAAAAATCTAATGGAAACAGAGCAGGTGGCAACAGTGGCCAAGCAAGAAGGATCTCCTCTATTGATCCATGGTTCTGAGAAAGCGTCCTCCAGAAAGTATCACATCCAAAAAATGAACACTGATTATTCAAAATTTACAAAAGTAGATATAAGAACCTTAAATATTTCAGTATTTTCTAAGTTTATAGCATTTGTCTTCTGAAGTTATTAGAATTTAAAACTGCACTGAGACTTCTGGAACACTATTTTGATGCATGATTTACAAGACTTTTCATATACAACCTATTAAAAAAGTCTTTATGAAATCCACATAGATTGTGAAGGCAGAGAATGAAGAAGGAAATATTACATTTCGGTAAGAGATGATAATGGTAAATGCTTCCATTTCCCAATAAATCAGAAGTCAAAATCATAAACATATAACAAATTATGCATAATGAGCCACATTAAGGGTAATGGCTGCCGGCATTAGATGTCACTTCAGGCATTAGAAACAAATGTTTCTGAGAATCCCTTGACTACTACTGACAATAAGTAAGCTAACAACTCAAATGCCAATGGAACCAGGCAAATAACATCATACACTGAATTAAATGCAACGATGTTATGTCACGTAACAGGGAATGGATGGGAGGAAGATAATGAATTAAATAGTCTATGATCTAAAATTTTTCCTAAACCCTTGCAAAAATCCAGAATCCAAGTTGTCCAGACAAACCAGCTCTCTGAATTAACTAATTAGTTAATTAATTAATCTTCCAAGTTTTTTATTTTTTACATAGGCTCCACGCCCAGCGTGGAGCCCAACTCGGAGCTTGAACTCACAATCACCCTAAGACTGAAACCCGATCTGAGATCAACAGTCGGACGTTTAACTGAGCCACTCAGGCACCCCTCTTCCAAGTTTTTATTTAGGATGTCAGTTTTTTTTCTTTTTCTTAGCTATCTGAATTTGTAAGTGAAATCTCTTCATTTTTAAAAGTTGCCGACTAATTACAAAAATGTACACAGTACAAGACAAATAAAATTGGGCTTGGGCTTCCAACTCGATACTTTTGCCCTCAACAGTATACCCAGGAAGGGTGCCTGGATGGCTCAGTTGGTTAAGCATCTGCCTTTGGCTCAGGTCATGATCCCAGAGTCCTGGGATCGAGTCCCGCATCGGGCTCCCTGCTCAGTGGGAAGCCATGCTTCTCCCTCTCCTTTGCCTGCAGCTCCCCCTGCTTGTGTTCTCTGTCAAATAAAATAAAAATAAAAATAAAATCTTAAAAAAAAAAAAGTACACTCAGGAGTATGCTGGCCATCAAAAAAGCTACTAAAATGGTAGATTAGATTTAAAAAATCTGTCCCCTTCTACCCCCCAAACACACAAACTGCCATCCTTTGAGGATAACATGAATGGGGTAGCAAAGAGAGAGCCAATTTTACAACTCATTTAGCTATGTTGTTTCCTAACTAAAAATCACATCAAAATCTTTTGGAAGAGGTTACATTTTACCAACACAAAATATTAACAAACTAAGAAAAATAAAAGCATTACGTAAATTACTAGCATATATTCACATTCTCCTGTGAATTGTTATTGTTCCTTAAAAATCTTTGGTATTTTGGTATTAAACTACAATAAACAAAGTGAAATATTTCTCACCATTAAAAGATACTCCACTGCTCTGTCGGGGTTGTTGAAACTGGCTCTCAGGGCTGCGATCACTTGCTCTCGTTCATATCCCATCGACATGATCTCAGTTACCATATTCTCGTAAGACTGACCTGTCACTAAGAAAAGGTGTGTGGGGTGGGAGGAAGGGAAAGAAAGGAAACATTTAATAAATATGCACTTCCTGCCTATTTCTTGAGTGTATATGTATGTAATGTTTCAGGCACTGCAGGACTAGGGGTACAAAGATGAATAACAGTACAAACTACAACACATATGTGGTAGGTAGAATAATGCCCCCCTGCCAATCCCCAGAACCTATAAATATGATAGGTTACAAGACAAAGTGGAATTAAGGTTGTTCATCAGCTGACTTTCAGATAGGGAAATTATCCCAGATTATCTGTGTAGGCCCAATGTAATCACAAGGGTCTTTAAAAGTAAAAGGAAAACAGATGGGAGGGTCAGAGAAACAGATGTTAGGACAAGAGGAAAGAAGCAAGGTCACAGACGCTATGCTGCTGCCTTTGATGACAGAGGAAGGGGCTCTAAGCCAAGGAAGGCGGGCAGCCTCCAGAAGCGTTGAAAGGACACAGAACAGATTCTCCCCCCTAGAATGTACAGAAAGGATGGTAGCCCAGTGATTTAGCCCCTTGATTTTAGTCCAGTGAGGACTATGTTAGACTCCTAACTTACTGTGCCTTAAGATAATAAATCTGTTGTTTCCTACCAGGAAGTTTGTGGTAAGTTATCAATAATCATAGCAACAGAAAATTAACACAGTATGTTTAGTAAGTACAATAAAAACATCAGATACAAATGTATGACAAATACAGAACAGAATTAGCAGGTCAGAGAAGGCAACCTGGAAGAGACAGATGAACTAATTTTTGAAAACAAGGAGGGACGTTTCAGGCAATCGATTCTACTGCAACAACTTCAGTTTTCCTTTGACATCTTTTATTATCAAAGCGGAGGAAAAAAGGAGGCTAGAAGCAGGAAAGTCAGACTTTCATATACCATACAGAGCTGGTGCAATGCCCCAAGCACTACTATCCCAGGAAGTCACTTCCCACAGGCTGTCTCCAACCCAAACTTGCTCTTCACAGAAATGGCAGACCACAGAAAACAGTCCAAAAGAAAGCCAACTCTCTATACTAAACTTACCTCACTTAAGCCATTTTTTCTTCTACTTCTCTTCTGGGTACCATTCCCTTTCTTGTCTCCTCAAAGAACTGGACCCTTTAGTTATCCTCTCTCTTGTCCACCTCCCATCCTTCACTCTCCACTTAATTATCCTGATCAGCAGTTAACTATACCCTAGAATGTCATCCTAAAAACAGAAGCCTACCCCCTTGGTCGCATCTCAATTCCTCTTTGAGGAACTGGTCCACCTGTCTGCTGCCTTCCCCTTCCAGCCATAGCTATCTGCACAGGCTGTGTCCACTTCTCACATTCCACCCACTCCTTAGTCAATATTGATACGTGATTTTGATCTCGAAAGATGTCCCCCTCAGATGTACCCCACCAGTATCTGACTTCTCCCTTTCAATAACTAGCACCTCTATCCACCCAAGCACAAGAGCCAGGAACCCTGGTGACTGCCAAGTTCCCTCTCCCTTCCCTTCCACACTTTATCTACCAGCGTATCTGCTAGGTCCTATCTCTGAATTACAGTGCAAAATTACCTACTTCCCTCTTTGTCCACTGCCTTCACTGAAGACCAGGCCACAACAATCTCTCATCTGGATTACACTCTGCTTCCTCTCCTGCCCCCGAGCCTATAACCTATTCTGCCAGCTGGAAAAGCAAGCTTTTTAAAAAGAAAACCTCATCTCATTTCGGGCTCCCAATACTCAACAATCTCTGTACACCACACTCCAACCAAGCTGATGTTTTCCAGTTCACTTCACAAGTCATACCTTTTAGAACCAGTCCCAGAACCTCTACACACTTACACACACACGCGCGCGCGTGGCTTCTCTGAGAGTCAATTCCTTCGCAGGCTCCAGTTCTCAATTTAAACTGAGAATACATCCCAGAGATGTACTACCTAACTATCCTAAGTATAAGTACCTTCCGTTTTTCTTTATGGAAGCCATTAGTTTCCTTAAAATCATTAATCATGATTTGCAATTTACTTTGTTTCACCCTTCTTTCTTTCCCCCATGTGACTGAAAAGCTCAACTGTGAAAGGGACCCTGTCATTTTGCATCACCATTTCCCTGGCACAGGTGAATGATTTATTTTTTTCTGCAAAATTTTCAATAAAGGCATTTAATAGCTATGAAAGTATATTTTTAAAAAACTAAGTATCATTGAGGAAATGTGATATTTTTTATCTTGTTTAGAGTAATGATTTTTCCTTTCCCCTTCCATAAAGGACTTGTTAATGTATTTTTATTTCTTAATTACCCATTCATATGATTCTAGCACTACACTATTTTGACATGATGTTTCTCATTTAATTCTCACAATAACTCCATGAGAAAGGTTTATTGTGATCATGGTTTAACAGTGGCTGGTAAGTCATGGTACAGACTAACAGGCTGTCAGAGTACAGAGCTCCCACACCTAGTCATCAAGCTACACCTCCTAAAATCATGCCTCCTAATTAATCAAGTTATAAAACTCAAAAAGAAATGCCTATAAGCAGTATGATACTCTTCAGATCGTAATAGTACAAGGGCAAATGACTCACAGGAAAACTAGAGACAATGGACAACACAAGGGAGAGCTAACGAGGCTCTCTTGAGGAAAATAGGGAAAAAAACAAAACTGATTTTGACAGACTAAGTGTGAAGGGGAGATGAAAAAGCATTATCCAATAGTTAAAGCTGGGACACAAAAGTACGTTCACTGCAAGTACCATACAAGCAACAAGACAGAGATGGGACCCGAAAGGGCTTCAAACTGGAATAAAGATAAAGTGTAAGACAGATTTAGTAACATTTTATACCCATTTCACAAACATTTTGTAATAAACCTGTACACAGTTCAAACTTTGTTAAGACCTCGTTTAAAATTCACATTTGGAAAATTATCTGCTTTAACCCAAAGAATATGCTTAACTCTAATAGTACAATTTAAAGGATTCAATATATAACACATTAACTCACAAAGTCTTTAGTAACATTAATCGAATAATTATCTAAATCATTTAACAGCTTGATTATAAGCAACCATGAAAATGAACACATTTTCATGATCTAGAAAAGTGCAATTTGAACCTCTTCCCTATCTCTTATAAGGTTATTTACAATGTAGATACTTACCAAGTGCACTTGTTGCATCTTCAAAAAGGTTCGACCGAGAAGAATCTCCTGATGTACTGCAAAAGGTTTTTAGAAAACTGTATATCAGAAAGTATATAAAACTTACATTAGTTTAGTAACTGTCCAAATTTTAAAGAGACTGTTTGATTTTAATTAAATGTAAAGGTCTGGCTACAGTGTTTAAACCATCTTCTACATTAAACCCCAAAGCTTTTTCCATAACATTTATGGCTTGGGAAGAATTTTCAATCTTTATATTCATACTGTTCTGCAAATGCATCACTTTAAATGTCCAATGACATAAAATAACAACTGAACAGAATGCTTACCATTTAAGGAATACAAAAAAGATAATGCACAACTATTTTCCTAAAAGAATTTACAATGATAGGTTAAATAATCTGTAAGTCAAGTCACAATAGAAAAAATACCAAACAGTACAAGTATCCTCCACTTTTCCAAAGTTCACATTCCACCACATTTTGCTTTTACAAAAGATCTACATTAGTACCCGTCTTCATTAACTAGAAGAAATCTGAAGAGAATTTTCTCTGAAGAGGACTTCTGCTTTTATGAGAAAAGTGAAAGTAGTGTTTCATTTGTTTTGCGGCAAGCCTTTATAGAGGAACACACCCTGAGAAGCAAGAGCAGCCCCCAAGCTCCTTCCCCAGAACTGTACTTAAGCATCTCAGCATCAATTCTGAGCTGTGTCTGTGAGCATCTGTGCTTCATCTAAATGTATTTTGTGCCTCCATTACCAAGATGTGTTCTAACGTATCCGAAAAGCCTGAGAGATTATTTTACGGGTCTGGGAATGATCAAAACTTTTTCTACATAAATTTATGGTAATTGCTTCTTTGCTTTATGCCACTTCAGCTTACAAAAGGTTTCACAGGAATGCTCTACTTTCCAATAGTGGGGGAAACCTGTACACAATAAACAGCCGAAGTAGAAACCACATTAGGCTGGAAAGGCCTGGGAAATCTTTACATAACAGAATTTCAGTTAGGTCTTATAGGTAAGTTTTCAACACAGGAGCTGAAAGAAGACATTCAAGTCAAGGAACATGGCAAAAGCAAAAAACGGAGGGGTGTGATAAAATCCAAGTTGTAACCGAAAGTAAACCAATTTAAAAGGACTAAGTTTCTGTTGGGCAACTGCAGAAGATGAGTCTGGAAAACAAAGTAGACAAAAACAAGATTATGAAAGACCATGAAGAGTAGGCCAAAGAAAAATAAGTTGAAATTTACAAAGTAGTAAAGGTAGCAGCTAGCAGTTTAGATTAAAACATACATACAACACAACACACACTTATACCTCTGTCCCAATTTTAAAAAATAAAACACAGTATGGGCGCCCAGGTGGCTCCGTCAGTTAAGCGTCCAACTCTTGATTTCGGCTCAGGTTATGATCTCAGGGTCGTGAGATCAAGCCCCATGTCAGGCTCCACACTGAGCGTGCAACCTGTTTAAGATTGTCTCCCTCTTCCTCTGCACTCCCCCCCCAACCCGTACCACAGGAAGAGCAAGAGATATATCTAAGTTTGAATTCATAAATTATTTTCTAATCCTCAGTTTCTTCATCAATACAATGATGTCAACAATAATATCCATGTATCCCAAAGTGCTGTACGTAGGGTTACTGCTGGTAAAGTGTTTAGCAAAGTGCCTGGCATCATAACATCCAATATGATTAAACTAATTTTCTGGTGTAATTTTTAAATTATCTTCATTAACTAGATAATAAAGCTAACTTATATAGAAGGCAAAACTTTGAAAAAATTATATATAGAAAAAATAATTCTCTTGCCCAAGACCCCTACCCAGGGAACAATCACTACCACCAGTTTCTATATAACAATGACTATGTCTTACCTTTGGGTGTGTTTTATTTAACTTAATTATCTCATGTTAGCATAACAATGACCTCAAATTTTCCCCACAGACACACAGTATTCCACTTAATTGACCAAATCAAGCTATTCATAGGGAATTTTTAGTTTGGTTCTCAACTTTTAAATTCTTTCTGTAGTCAAATTTATCAATTGTCCCTTTTATGACTTTTTTGATTAAGATTATTTTTATTTTTCCCATGTTCTCTAGTTTATGGTTTCCTTTTATGTTGATTCTTTCTCTACCTAGAATTTATTTTTATGAGTACAAGGTAAGTGATCCATCTTCCCTCTTCCATCTGGCTAGGCATTAATCCCAACAGCATCTTCCCCACAGTGGTTTGAAATTACATCTTTATCTTACATTAAGTCCCAGGTATGTATTCTGGTCTGCTTCTAGACTACCATCTATTTACCTAAGCAGTCTTTCTAGTAAGAGCCATTGTAAATTATTACAGTCATTTACCACCATGTATAATACACTTTACTACCTGGCAGGATTAATCTCCTTCATTCCAGTTCTCTTACAGGATAATTTGTGCTGTTGTGCACACTGCTTTGAAATTTCTTTTTACATATCTCAGATAAGAGTGAGGTAGGGCCGAACCACAATTCTTCAACCTTGATTCCACTTCACCACTTCTCCTTCCCCATCTGCAGTTATCAGTGTGCTGTCCCATTGCTACTGTTCTTCTACACATTACTATACACAGCCATAGAATATGTTGTTTTGTAGCTTTTGCTTGGTTTATGGTTATTGCCCATATTGTTTTGTAATCTGTTCTTCTCACTTGATAACAAAGCCTTGAAACCACATTCACTCAATATGATACATACTACATACTTTAACTGGCCGGTAGTATTGGACATTAGGGCTTCTCAAACTTTAGGAAGCCCAAGAATTTACCAGCAGAGCTTGTTAAAATACAGATTTCTGGGATCCACCCCCAGATAATTCTAATTTAGGTCAGGGGTTTAATTTCAAACAAACTCCCACTAATGCTGATGCTGCTTACTATCACTTTGAGTAGCACTGCTCTCTAATATGAATAAATTACAGGTCAAGTCATTCCCTTACTAATGTATTTAGGTTGGTTCCAATTTGCCTTTAACTATAAATAATGTAGTCTTGTGCACATGCGCAGTTTCTCTAAGGTAAAGATAAACAAGTAGAATTTGCATTGTAACTGGTGGTTTTTAAAGAACAAAATTGGCCTAAAGACACAAACGCCTATTAATGAAATGTCAGGCCAGTGGTGATGAATAAACTTTCTGGTATCCCTCAAATTTATACCAACATGTCTCTCGACAATTATCTCACTAAGTTTCGTGTTTTATAGGACACTCCACGTTGTACAATACAGATGAAAGGACTAAGGCACATTTAAGCAGCCAGTTTTCTGAGCTTCTCTCATCCTTCCTTTCCCATGTTATCCTTCTCTAAAGTGATAATGTGGGGAAATAAAAATAAGCAGTTGGTGTAGAAGGCCAAACCAAGTAAGTAACTCTAGCATCTGCTCTCTGTATCACTGACCATCTACTGATTTATGCAACTTCTGTAAGTCTGAAAACGTAATACTGACTCTTGAGAATGCGTAATGAAACTGTACCCCAGAAAGAAATTTTAAAAAGAGATAATAAAGAAATTTGGATAGATCATATTAGCACATTAAAATATACTGATCAATTCTGAAATTCTCACTATGAGCTTTTCAAAGAGCTGAAAACATTTAAGAAAATAAAATATACTGCACTGAATGAAGACATATTTAATTACAGTTACAATATTTATATGATCTGGAAAACGAATGTGTTAAATTTGTTCAGTTCCCTCCCATACACAGAACTGACGAACAACCTTTTGATAGAACAGCTTAACCTGAGTCTAGGTTCTCTCCCACTAGGTAAGAGTGTTGAATGCATTTCTAAATATACATGGGAGAAGCATCAAGTTAGGCAACAGTGTCTCAATGCCTAAAGCAAAGTTCAGCAAGCAGGCATAGGGGAAGCATTTTATTACCTGAGCCTATGCTCTCCTCGTAGGGAATCAATTCCCTGGAAAGAGGCCCTAAGTGACCAATTAATCAGATGACTCAAACCTCTCCAAACACTGTGGACTGCGTCAGACACAGTAACCAGACATAAAGGCAAACACTAAAATGAAGGATCCTAATTTTTTTCTAATCATTGTTGTATTTATCACAAACATGCTTTCCTATCAGTGTTTCCAACTCCTGTATAATCTCTACTCCATCTGGTTCTGATTCCGAGGACTTTAACTACTGCCACTGAGGTCCCAAGCTGTACTGAAGTCACAAAAGACAAACAGTGCCAGTGCACACTGGACTTAATACTACCCATGTTCTCAGATAAAGGAGAAATTCTCTATATGTGTCCACCCAAGAGAACCAAAGCACTTGTTTTGGTTATTTTATTTATCCTTGGGGGGAAAAAAACCTTTGTCATAAACTACTCAATACTCCTGCCAACTTCCCACAAGAAAATATTTCTTGCTCCTCAAATATCCTGCACCTTTTCTTTTGTTTTAAAGATCTACACTGGTAAAATTTAAATTTCTACAGAAGTTCACAAAAATATAGATAAAACAGTGGAAAATTCAAACAATCCATATGTTCAACAAAAGGTAGTAGGTCACTATGCACAATAGTTGATACTTAACTCTGCTGTGAACATGTGCTATTTCACAGCTTTTACATTCATTATTTCATTTAATCCTTACAACAACTCTAAGAGATAGGTCCTATTGTCATCCACTTTTTTTTTTAATTTATTTATTTGACAGAGAGAGACACAGCGAGAGAGGGAGCACAAGCAGGGGGAGTGGGAGAGGGAGAGGCAGGCTTCCTGCTGAGCAGGGAGCCCGATGCGGGGCTCGATCCCAGGACCCTGGGATCATGACCTGAGCTGAAGGCAGACGCTTAACGACTGAGCCATCCAGGCACCCCATGTCATCCACATTTTACAGATGAGGAAAATACCCAAAGATGTTATTTTTCTAAGGTTAAGTGCCAACAAATGTCAGATCCAAACACAATGCTACGCAGCAACTGGAAATATTTAGTGGCATGGAAGGATATTTACAATATAAATGACAATGATCAGAAAAGAATATAGATCAAATATAAATAATGATTAGGGGTCAAGGTCAAATTATTTATAATGTCAAACTATAATAAAATAGCAAGTTATTTTTATTCTTATAAGTCATTTATATTTCTTAATTTTTCTACACAAAATAAATAATGACTTTGACCCTCTTTCCCCTCCCCCGTGGGAAAAAAATGCAGAGTATACAAATCTGGATTATGGAAATTTAAACAGGCACAAGCATGCTGTTTTAGTCACAATTCAATGTTTAGAAAAAGTTTAACGTAGCAGAAACAAAGTTTGATCAAAACAATCATCAAAATAAATACTCGCGTTAAGTTCTTGTCATGAACTTGTGTTGAGATATGATTTCCTAGACTGTAGGTCTTACCTGTCAGTTGCTGTTGGACTCGTAGCCACAGGTGTCTCTGCTGGCTTTTCTGCAGGCTTCTCTGGTTGCGCCGCACTAGCAGGTGCAGGTTCCGAAGATGCTGTCGTTGGTGCTGGAGTGACGGATGCAGGGGAAGGAGTGGGAGCCAGAGTGGGAGCAGGGGCTGGGGCCTGAGCCACAGCTGGAGCTGTGGAGGAGCTAACTGTGGTAGTGGTGGCAGGATTTGACTGCTGGGTTGTGGCTGGTGCTGGTGTTGTCACTGCTTTGGGCTAAACACATTAAAAAAGTAAAACAATGGATTATGATAAAATACATTACCTGATCTCTAAGTAGACTGTATGGTTACAGGAGGCTACAAACGTAACAATAACACAAACTTGTAACTTGAAAATAATTTCATAAAGTAACGTAATAAGTGATCAATATTATCCATCTGAATCACTACTTAACGTTACTCTTTCAAAGCCAGTGACAGCATATGTATTATCTATCAACCTTAATTAGCTTTAGCTAATAGTTTCAGTCTTTGTTATCAAGTTAATACGAAAAAGAACCAAAAGCAGCCACTACTCAGAAATATACAGAATGTGTACTGAGAAAAAGAACCATATAATTACTGTCCCACCACCCCCAAGCACTACACTTTAAGTTCCTTGGTTATAATTTTCAAGTATTTATTGTCATTTAAAAGCGTCACCAACATAACTTTGTTTGATTTGAGCTGGTATAGAGCACACTGGAGAAAGAGTGGCTTGTGCAAGGTAGGGCAGGGGAATTAAAAGAAATACTAGCAGCGTTCATTCCCTCCTTTCTTTATTCTAAGAGCCCTGTGTTTAGCCCTGTAACTTTTAAACTGCCAATACTCTGCAAATTATTAATGTTCTAAAACTCCAGTCTAGATGAAATGAAATTTAAATGCATTACTATGCTCATTTATTTCCCTTAAGATTACTTGTGATCAATATAATACAGTCACATTCCATGCCCTCAAGGTCTCTGTTGCCATAGAGCTATTTAAGCCTCATTCTAAATGGTATCAAACCCATCTGCTTTTTGAAGTTTTTCTGCTTACTTTTGATCTAAATAGCTTTTTCCTGTCTCTTCTTTATAATAAGGTCATTTCTCATTGCTTCCATAATGCCCAATTCTTCCCCTTCTAATAGCTGGCTTCTATTAACTTGAAAATAAAATAACCGCAAATATCATTAGAACCCTATGTAAAATAAGAAAAGGCTTGGCTCTAAGTAGCTATTCTTCAAATGCATGGATCTATTCTGAGACCTATCCTGCTTAATTCTTAGCTATGTTCTAAATAATCAAAGTTATTATAATATTAAAGGAAATAACACCAATAACATACATATCCAAATATGTGGCTACCACATTTTCCATTATGTACTATACATAAACTAGATGAGACAATGGAATATTATTCAGCCCTAAAAGGACACAAATTCTGGCATGTAGCTACAACATGGATGAACCTGGAAGACATTATGCTAAGGGAAATAAGCCAGTCACACAAGGGAAACACTGTATGATTCCACTTACATGAAGTATGTAGTTAAACTCATAGAAAGTAGAATAGTGGTTACCAGGGCCTGGGGGGGCGAGGGAAATGGGAGATACTATTTAGTGGGTATAGAGTTCTAGAGACAGATGGTGATGATGGTTGTAGAACATGAATGTACTTAATGCCACTGAACTGTACAATTAAAAATGGTTAAACTGGTAAATTTTGTGTTATGTATATTTTATCACAGTTAAAAATACTAGACTGAGACAAAGTTTCCTCAGATGATTCTGTTCCTCTATATGTAAAGTTTAACATTTAGTGAGTATAAGTGCTTTAATATAACAAAATCACTATGGTTCTTAATGGATTAAAAACTTTTAAATCCAATACCTATGTTTAGCTGCTTTTTCTCAGGACAAAAATATGCAGTTAATTAAAATTTACTTGCTCAACTATTTTCTACTGCATATAGTACCTTAAACTTACAAAAAAAATCCTCATTTATTCTTTCAGTCTTTGATAAACTGTTTTCCAATTACTTATTTAAACTTATTTTCAGTGTCACAAGTATCACTGTTCTTCTCAGATTACGACAACTCAGTCCTAAAAATTCATGTCATGAGTACCACGACATCCCTATTTAACTCTCCACTGCATGCTTATGTATCTTTAAACAAAAATATAACAGAACCTCTGAAAGAACCCAAATTCATTCTCTGCCTTAGAGAAAAACTCTGACTTTTATAAACTGTCCCAAATATATTTCAATCCAACAAGTCACAAAAAATTCCCTTTAAAAAACTTCCTCAAGGGGCGCCTGGGTGGCTCAGTTGGTTGGTTAAGTGTCCGAATCTTGGTCTGCCATGATTTCAGAGTCCTGAGATTGAGCCCCACGTCCAGCACTGCACTGGGCAGAGAGCCTACTTAAGATTCTCTCTCTCCTTCTGCCCTTCCCCTCTAAAAAACACCACCAAACCAAAACGTTTCTCACAACTATCATTCTATCATTTCTTCAGCTGCCTTTTCCTTTTTTAGCATCTAAAAATCTACCCCCTCACCTAAGGAATATCACTGAAATTATGAGTTTACATGCCTTTTCTGCCTGAGAGGTCAAGTCAGATCTAGTACATAATTTAGCAAGTCCCTTTAAGGCACCCTTATTAAAAACACAAAATAAGAACTATTTACTCAATTACTAAGAATCACACTTTAAATTACTTAATTACCGATTTTACTACTCCAGCAAAACTTAACAATTTTTACATGACCTTTTATTATCTGTTTCATTTAAAGTTATGTTTAAGCTATAAATGTACAAAATAATTAACTTTATGGCTGACTCAAAGTAGACTGTTAAAACCTTTAAATAACAGTTAAGTACCTGCCATATGGATGTGCACAAACTATATACACAGTTGGGATCATTATTTAAAAAAAAAAAAAACCCAAAAACCCTCATATGCATAAAGATATACAGAACAAGGCTCAAACTCACTTTTGTCACCATAACCACCACAAAGTTTTTTTCGTCAATTTTATATTCTTTTAGAGCAGTATCATCATTGAGGATTTTGCCTAGTACATTAAGAAAAAAAGAACACATTATTTGAAGCCCCATAACCTTTGTTTTACACATTAACTGAAGTTAAAATAATCACCAATGTCAATTCTATCAATTAATACTTTCCCCAAAGAAAAACATTAACTAATCAGCCAAGATAAATATAAACGGAAATATAATCGGGTAAAAAGGCACTAACATTTGACTGAAAGATATCAAACACAAACACCGTATATATTTCTGAAAGACTCAATCTGTATACACAATTTATAAGATGACAATTTCTAAAACCAAAGACTGTCACTGTAAGCAAGAAGATGGCATATTACTTACAATATTTAATTCATACCTGCATAAATTAATTTTTGACCTGCTACAGGAAAGGCATCTTTCCCCTTTTCAGATTCAATCTTCTCTTTCAGTGCCTTCACCTACAGGAAAAACAAAGATTTTTTTCTAAAAAGTCTAAACAACAAATGACAATCCAGAATTTGAATAAATAATGCAAGGTAAAATTTTATGCATATTAATTATTAAATATACTTCCAAAAACTTAAAGATCCTGTCTTTACAATATTATATCAAAAAGACTCATTCTTAATACATATCGCTAGGCATAATAGGGGCGCCTGGGTGGCTCAGTCGTTAAGCGTCTGCCTTCGGCTCAGGTCATGATCCCAGGGTCCTGGGATCGAGCCCCGCATCGGGCTCCCTGCTCCGCAGGAAGCCTGCTTCTCCCTCTCCCACTCCCCCTGCTGTGTTCCCTCTCTCGCTGTTGTCTTTCTCTGTCAAATAAATAAATAAAATCTTAAAAAAAAAAAAATACATATCGCTAGGCATAAAAGGTATAAACTTTGTTTTACCACAGATGCTAGACATACACAGATTAAAAAGAAAAAACTTTACCAGTTGACTTGATAAATCCATTCAAAATAAAGATTTCAACATCAGAAAGTTTTGATTCTCATTATAGTTTATGGCCTTATTTCCCACAGAGTAAAAAAGTAAAGAAAAACTCTCTAACCTAAAAGGCCTAAGAAATGAAATAGTCACTTCTACATTAATAATAGAAGTTAAATATGAATGTTAAATGGCAAATGATTCACTTTAAAAGTGGGATACGTTTCATTATAATCACACACGAGGGGGCTTAAAGACCAATTAAAACAATTTCTGGGGATGTGGCGTGAACATCTGTATTTTTTTTTAAAGCTTTACAGGTGGTTCCAAAGTTCAGCCTTGGCCAAGGACCACTGTACCACTTAAATGATCTTAAACAAGTAGTTCGGTTTCTCTCAAATATCAGTCTCATCTACGAAGTACGAGGGACTGAAATAGATGATCTTTATGGTCTCTTTGATTCCTAAAATTACGTGACAATAGGCTCATTATAAGGTATTTTGAAAATGAGTCCAATCAATTTCTGACACTGATCAGAAAGCAGGGTGGCAGAGGAGTACAAGAGGCAAGAAGACATAATGGAACTAGTTTCATTACTTTAAAGGCACAAGAATCAAGAGGGAAAATTCTATTCCTTCTATTTCCGAGAATACTTCTAAAAAGTGTCTAAGTTGATAGTTCTGAGCTTTAGGTGAAAGACTGCCTGATAGGGATACAAAGAGAGTGTACTAGTTTCATTAAAGACACAAGAATCAAAGGGGAAAATTCCATTTCCTTCAATTTCCCAGCATACTTCTGAAAATTGTCTAAGTTGATAGTTCTGAGCTTTAGATGAAAAACCGCCTGAGAGAGAAAGAGAAGGTCCCTTTGTACAATTAAAAAGCAACAATGTATCTTCCAAAAGAAAAAAAAGATGATAATGCTTATACAGCTTTAAGTACATTAACATACACAAATTCAAGTAATTCTTAAAACTCTGGGACAAATGGGAATATCATCCACTCAATGTTATAGATGAGAAGAGAGGTTAAATCTCCTCCCCAGGTCACACAGCTACTAAGTAGTAGATGAAACCCAAAACAGCTTTCTGACTTCAAGCTTTAAAGCAGAATTATTTTGCACACACCATATAAATTACCCTTGCTGCACTGATCTTCCTGAAATGAGTCAACAGCATCACCACTATTCTGATGTTCCCCAAAGTAGAAATCCATCACAAGAACCTAAGTCCACTATTTTCTATTGTTCTGAATTTCAAAGGTTAAATGAACACAAGTAACAACTTAAAAAAAAAAAAAAGCACTCAGAGAATCTGATCTCAACATCAGTAAACTCAGGCTATAAATTCCACGGCCTTATTCAATTTCACATAATGTTCTTTATCATAATGGTAAACTCTCTGCTATGTGTGTTTCAGAATAAAGAAGAACAAAGACTTCACAACTTCAATAACTCTACAGTTGGCCCTTGCTTTAAATTAATGTTGACAGTTCTGATTTTACCTATACATTCAACTAGCACTTCATGATAAGAGCAGGAAATAAAAGATATGATATATCCAAATTTCTAACATAAATTTTAAAGATCATTTCACTAAATCCCTGCACTGCTATGGATTCTAACGCCTAGAGCAATGATTCTCTAGGTGAGGTCAGGGAGCCATAAAGGTTCGTGAGACCTTATCAAGTGGTCTGCAAGGTCAAAGACATTATTTGCCTTTTTCCATTCTAATTTTCTCACAACTATATACTTGAGTTTTCCAGAGGTTACAAAGCATGTGATTCCACAAAAGACTGAATGCAGAAGCAGGTGAGAAGCTATCTATCTTCTATTAAGCCAAACATTAAAGAGTTTTGCTGGGGTGTCTGGCTGGTTCAGTTGGTAGAGCATGTGACTCTTGATCTCAGGGTGGTGAGTTTGAGCCCCATGCTGGGTGTGAAGCATGATGGTACATTGGACTAATCATGTCTGAATAAAAAAAAGCAGAACAACAACAACAACAACAAACACCTCCAATCATTTTGCTCCAAAGAAACCAAACCGGTGATTAAAGAATATTAAGAATATAACAATGAGAACTCTATAGACATCACTATCTATATAATTTGGCTAAAAAAGTAATCACAGACTAACACTCTTAAGTGTTTAGGGGCGCCTGGGTGGCTCAGTTGTTAAGCGTCTGCCTTCAGCTCAGGTCATGATCCCAGTGTCCTGGAATCAAGCCCCGCATCGGGCTCCCTGCTCCGCGGGAAGCCTGCTTCTCCCTCTCCCACTCCCCCTCTTGTGTTCCCTCTCTCGCTGTCTCTCTCTCTGTCAAATA